ATATTGTTGTTTTTATACTACACTGGCTCACAAATCTAAATCATAACTATAATGTAACTATGATTCATCTAAACCAGTTATGTTGGTCTATGAAACCAGGGTTCAAATCCCCACTTGGCCGTGAAAACCCACTGGATGACCTTGGATAAGTCATACATTATTAACAATTTGTAAGACTCTGTGAGAGTATTTCTAAAGAGTAAGGTATAAATGCAATAAATAAATAAATAAATTCTCAGCCTCAGAGAAAGGCAAAGGCAAACCCCATCTCAACAAATCTTGCCAAGAAAACCCATGATAGAGTCACTTTAGGCTCATATTAAGTCAGAAATGACTTGAAGACACACCACCACAACAACAACAACACAACTATTTGGCAAGAGACTTGTGCCCTCCAGATGCTGGACCATGCACCCTAAACTTTGACTATGGTTGTATCTGCACCGCAGAAATAATGCAGTTTGACAGCATTTTAACTACCATGGCTCAATGCTATGGATTTCTGGGATTTGTAGTTTTGTGATATATTTAGCCTTTTCTACAGAGGCTTTTGCTGTCGGGAGGTACTAATGGAGATGGAATCCATCCATATCTGGAGGCACATAGGTTCCTCATATCAATCAAAAACTTCTTATTCCATGGGTCTACATGTTGAGATTATATCTAAGGGCCTTTGCAGACTGCCACAAATAGTGCAAATTGAGTCCACTTTAAGGGTTAGGTTAATGCTAGGGAATCATGGGAATTTTTTTTCCTGAGACATTGAGCCTTCTCTGTCAGAGAGCTCTGGTGCCACAATAAAATATAGTTCCTATGATTCCCTAAACCTAACCCTAATCCTAACCCTTAAAGTGGACTCAATTTGCACTATTTCTAGCAGTCTTCAAAGGCCCTACGTGTCAACAATTGAAATAAGTAGTTTCAAAAAATTGGTAACTTATAATTTACTCCCAATAAAGAAGGCAGAAATGTTTGACCCTATTAGGGTTTTAAGATAATTTGGAGAGGAGTTCCTCTCTGTCTCACCACCTTCTCAGGCTCATTTGGTGGGGAGAAGAAAGAAAGCCTTCTTGGTGGCTGCTCCCAGACTTTGAAACTCACTCCCCAGAAAGGCAAAACTGGCCCCATCCTTGCACTTCCAGTGGTGGGTTAAAACCTTTTTGTGTCACCAGGCCTATACAGATTGTTGAGATTGGGTTTTTAATGTTGTGTGGTGATGGTTTTGAAGTTTTAAAGCTTCAGCATATAGTTTTGGTGGGTATGGGGTTTTTTATGTTTAAGGCATTTTAGTACAGTTGGTCCTCTGTATCCACAGATTCATTATGCATGGGTCCAAGCATCCACAGCTTGGAAATATTTTTTAGAAATATAAATTCCAAAAAGCAAACTTTGATTTTGCTATTTTACATAAGGGACACTGTTTTACTATCCCATTGTATTTAATGGGACCTGAGCATCGATGGATTTTGGTATGCATAGGCAGTCCTGGAACTAAACCCCACTGTATTTCTAATTGTTTTAATATATGATTGTTTAATTGTATATTTTATACTTTCATTTAACTTTTGTAGTGTTTTCAACATGTAGTTTTTAAAATGTTGTTAGCTGCCTTGAGTCCTGTTATTGGGAGAATAACTATTACTTATAAAATAAATTAATTAATCACACTGCCCTTTTTTCAGTGTGGTTGTCATTTTTATTTGTATAATTATCAAGTTTGCCCTTAGTATAGGAAGTAAATGGTGGAGGATGATTATCCTCCAGTTCAAGTGCTATCTTGTTCTGCTGCATAATGCTCTGTGGTGGGTGTTGAGATGATTGAGAAGTAGAAATAAGACAAGTGGGAAACATGTTTTGCACCACAAGCCAACTGTTTGTGCTATTCAGATTTTTTTATATATATGAATAAAAATAGTAACTTAAAGTCAATACATTGGTTTCTTTTGAGAAACAGGATAGCAAGAGTTATTCAAAATAGCAACTGCAATGGTAACAAACTAGAGGCATTCAGATTATGAAGGCAACTAAATATTTTTAAAAAGTGACTTTCCAAGCGCCGTGCTAGAGGAAGCAGCCCCACAAAGGCATGGTGCTGACACACAGGTGGTGTCCCTCTGTGGATGGAGACATGCAATGAGGAGCTCTTGCATGTCACTATTTATAGTATAGCAAAGGACCAGGGACTTTTGAACTCTGCCCCTGTCAATCAGGCATGGTTGAAACAGCTGAACATGTGCTTATTTATACTTATCTCTATATTCTTTATATGAATCTATACTATAAGGACATCCACTTTTCATATACAGTACTACCCCAATTTAGCAGTATTTCCAGGGAGATCCCATTATTATTTTACCCTTCTTCTTCCAGATTCTACCAAGAAAAATACTCTTAAGGTGGCAAAATGTTCTGTTTTATCTTCCTCTACTAGAAATCAGCTGATTAAACAATCTTACTGATTTTATTAGTGCAAGTTGGCCCCAAGTTGGCTTACATACTGAAGACAGTTATGTTTCTGTTATCACTTGTGCATACATTGGAATTCTCCTAGATGTGCCTGATCATTTTGCATTTGTTTATTCTCTAATTGTAGAAGCTGATCTATGACCATAATAAAACTATGCCAAAAACAAGGGGAGGTGAGCTAAACCATGACTCCTCTATACGAACATATAAGAAAAATAGATAGGTAGTGTCATGCTCACTCACAGCACTAATATACAATCTGGAACATGAATCTCATCAGCACACCCAATCACATTGCTTATGGGGAGAGAAGGTATGAGGTCATTGATGTTATATAGTCAAATATCTCCTACATCTCCATGTTCTTTTGGAGATCTATAGTGAGTAGGGATATGACAATAATTCATTCCAGTTCCCTAAAAATACAAACTTTTGTTTTCTCAGCCCCTTTAAATTTCTATTTATGAACAGAGAAATTTGACATCTTCTCAGACCAGATGTAAGAATCTTGAGATGGTTCATTTGGAAATGAATTAATGAGGCAGGAATGTCTATTTGAAATTTGATGTTCTGGATGGTTTTATTGCTTTATTGCTTCAGTACTAAGTTGAATAGTTAAATAGCAGGGGTGCAATTGAGTCTGAATCTCACATGGATTTAGTTTTTTTTGTTGGTGTATCCAACAGGATAATATATAACAACAACAATGACATTTGTTTGCCTTCAAGTCATTTTTTTTTTACCTATGACAACATTACAGTGAAGACCAATATGGTCTAGTGGTTTGAGTGTTGGACTACAACCCTGGAGACCAGACTTTAATTCCATGCTTGGCCATGAAACCTACTGGGTGACCTTGGACAAATCACATGCTATCAGCCTCAAGAGAAGATAACAACAAACCCCTCTGTGGATGCAATTTCCTACTGCTTGAATCTCAGCAACTCAGAAATACTTCAGTTGTGTTATGCCTGGCTATGAAGATTTTTTAGGGGGTGGGGGTAGGGAGGGTAAGATTTGATTATTGATAACCATAAACAAATCTCCAGCAGTTTGGATATCTTAAACTGAGCTTATGATATTGTAAATGCTAAACAAGATGATAGACATATAGTAATTTATAAGTAATCCTTGACTAATGTGATCACTGAGGAAGCCAGAGATTACAAAAGTTCCATTATTGTTTGTTTCCCAATAGCCATGCTGGCTGGGGGATTATGGGATTTGCAGTTTAAAAAGTAACTATTACAAGTTCTGGAAAGGTTCAGTAACTTGCAAGCAGAATATCTTCAGCTCATATTCTCTCAGCACAGGGAACAACAAACATTTTTCAGGCAAAATAAGAACATTCCATACCTCTACCCCACCAACCCAGTCCAAAGTATTCAATTTTATAATGTGTTCCAGGAGGGTAGGGCAGGGCTGGGCTGGGCTGGGCTGACAAAGGGAGGTCAAGTATCCCTTTCAATTCAAGTATCCAGTCAAATAAGAGCCTAGGGCAGGGGTAGGCAACCTTTCCCCTTTAAGGGCTGAGCAACTTCAGCTCCCAGAATCCCAGGATCTATTGGCCAACATGGGACTATTGGCCAACATGGCTGAGGCTTCTGGGAGCTGAAGTCCCTCGGCCCTTAAAGGGGAAAAGTTGCCTATCCCTGTCCTAGGGATTGCTAGTTCCAGCTGGTAAACTCCTGGGCTTTCTGCAAGAGACAGTTCCTCTGTGTATTCAACTAAAGTTCAATGACAACTTGTGTTATTTGCTTGGTGGTATGGAAGGAAAACATCTATGGCAGATGGATTCTCGCATCTTAGTCTAGCAGTATAGGTTGAAGATTCTGCTGGTGTGCTTCACACCCCTACTCAGTAGCTTCTCTGCCCAATCTGATGGATGTGGCCTCAGATGTGTTACTAAGGATAATCAGACTTCTGATTTCTTGCAGGATTTAACATTGACATAAGTAGGACTGCCAGGTAAACATGTCCTATTCTTTGAGATTTGAGAGGATGGGGTACTGTGATGTAAGATAATAGGCTCTTGTGTCTCGGAAACAGGATCAGCAAGATTTGGCAAGTGACGCAACTGCCTCTAGATCAGATGATTGTGAAAATGAGCATGAAGGCAATCTACAGTAGTTAAATGGGCCCAGAATTTGGATGAAATCCAGATAACCAGGTAACATGGCAACCCAAAGCCAAGAATTCTTTGACATCTGGACAAAAACCCAAATACACCCAATAGCTAAGTGATTTCAGGCATCCAGTAGACATTTTAGTGCACTGAGCCTGAGTATGTTATGGAATCTCCTGTGCTATTTGAAAGACATTTTCTGAATGAAATCAATGGGACTATTGGGACTTCAACAGGTGTTAGAGCACACAGAGGTTCAGATGAGACAATGGAAAGATGATGGTGGTGACTCCCCCTCTTGATGGTGTGATGATGGTGACTTCCCTGATACTGGTGTGTCCTCCTTAGCAAAGCCTACTTGGCTCCAACATTGCCATTGTTTTAACATTTGATGACCTATCAGGTTAGAGCCAACGTAGTGTAATGGTTGGGTGTTAGACTACAACTCCAGAGACCAGGGTTTGATTCCCAACTTGGCCATGAAACCTAGTGGGTGACCTTGGACAAGTCATATGTATTCAGCCTCAGGGAAAGGTAATGGCAAACCTTCTCTGAACAAATCTTTCCAAGAAAATCCCATTGCCATAAGTTGGATATTACAACACAACAACAACATGGCCAGTTTTATCGAATCAACTGAATCAACAGTTATATTGAATCAACTGAATTGTGTTGTTCCATTATCTGTATTCTATTGCTGATGTTTTAGTTATTTAGTTATTTATGGGGACTAGGGACTGTTGTATTTTTGCATAATATTTTATTTGTTATGTAAATTGTATTATTTTCAATATTATTGTAAGTCACCTTCAGTCATCTTGAAAAATTGCTTTAAAATGCTTAATTGTCTTCATCATTATCATCACTGATCAAGGTATATGGAACATAGCTGCCTTCTCTAAATGCAGTAGCATTGTGCCCACGTTACAGAAAAGAATTATTATAATCTAGTTATTCTTTTTCTTTCTACTTGTTTGTGCTGTAACTGTAGCATTCAAGATCTGATGCTCCAACAAATATTTAAATTCCATATTATATTCATGTTTTGTTGCTGTTGTTTTTACCCTAGCAATTTTATGGGATTTCTTGTTTTGCATTCTCATTATAGTTAGCTATCTTATTAACTTTAGTTATCTTCCAGAGCACCTCATACTTATTTGTTTTATTTATAATGCTTTACCCCACACAAATAGAAAACTCAAAGCAGTTTAGATGAGGTTCTTACTCATCTCCTGTCTGTGAACTGATCAGATTGGCAACCTTTAAGCTTCTACAAAGTTAAAGTATCAGGTGCTCTCAGGCCAGTACATACACATGTCTACCATCTTCTCTTTCAACCCAACTGATAAAATAGGTGATCAGCTCACCAATGTTCATACTTCAGATAATCAGGTGATCTCAGACATGCCATGACACTTCTCTTTTTGTTGCACATAAAACTGTGCTATATACAATCTCCCAAAGCAGATACTGTTGCCATCAAAGGCTACTGAACTTGGTTTGTTCCTCTTTGTTCAGTGTACATTTTCAGGATTTGATGTAATAGCTTTCGAAAGCAAAACGACTTTGCTAAATTCCTCAGTTCAGGGCTCAGGCACAGAACTCGTCTCAGCTGTCACCCTCTTTTTCTCCCAGACAATTTCAAGACATTGGGTCAGCTTTTCATGCTGGAACTCGAGAGAGAAAGAGAGAGAAAGCTTTCAAGAGCAACTTTCATAAGCCTGCAGCTAAGACAAGAGAGAGACTCAGTCATGTCACACACAATGCAGACTGGCAGTGTGGAAAGAAAATCTGTTGCACAGGAACAGGAGGAAAGAATTTAATACAAGCATGTCCCTCTTTAAAACCAGTGGTTGATATGTGTGCTGTCATCAACCGGAATTCCACTGTAGTTCACAATTACAAATGATCTTTCCAGATCAATCAGCAATCTCACACCAGTCTCAAATGTGAGACACTATTGTCCTAGGCTATGAAAGTGAACCAATCAAGAATCCCAAATTGGTTTAGAAAAAAACATTTCCATAATACTCGATTAACAAGTCTCTCTTCTGTTAATATTCAGTACTGAAGAAACTTTCTGATGACCAGGGAAAAAATTTATCTTTCTGGACATTCTTTGTCTGATGCTAGAGACATTACCACAATAATTAGGAAAGCACAGCCCAGTGCTGCAGCTCTGCCTATCACTATAACCATATGATCAATATAAAATTATCCCCACACCCCATTATTTGTGGATTTCTTTCCATTTTCCTTTCTGCTTTCCTCAGAGTAACATAGATCTCTTGGAGTTTCTCTAAAGTTGCAGAGAAGCTGGATATTTCAAAGTAGATTATTTTCAAAAGAGGATTTCACTTCATTTGAGTTTTAAGTATAATATTCCATGGTCACACAGAAATGCCACCATTATGAACTGAGAACCCCAATTACAAATGGATCTACCTAATATCCTACCCAACCAGCCCACACAGCTAATTTTAGAAATTGCTGCTACTATGTATCATTTACTGGTTGCAGTTTGAAAATTGTCTGTTCCTTCACTTCAACAACATTGCTTTCTATTCCTTATGAGATTCTTCCATTGTTTTATATTTATAGAACATCAACAGTGGTTTAAGCTTTGAGCAGAATATAGAAGAGACATTAGTACCAGACAGCTACAGTTTTTTGTTGTTAACTGCCTTCACATTAGTCTTGACCCATAGTGACCCTATAGATGAGACATCTCCAAGGCCCCCTGTCCTCTATTGATCTGCTCAGCTCCTGCAAACTCTTATTCGTGGTCTCCTTAATAAAGTCCACCCATCTAACATGTAGCATTCCCCTCTTTCTTCTTCCCTCCACCTTACCTAAGATTATCTTTTCCAACAATTCATGCCTTCTCATGATGTGTCCAAAGTACGCCAGTCTAAGTCTTGTCATCTTGGTTTCTAGGGATATCTCTGGCTTGATCTGTTCTAGGACCCATTTGCTTGTCCTTTTGGCTGTCCATGGAATCCTCAGCACTCTTCTCCAGCACCACATTTCAAATGCATTGATTTTCCTCATGTCTTGTTTCTTGACAGCTCTCACATCCATACATAGTAATAGGGAATACAATGGCTTATATGATTCTGACTTTTGTGTTGAGTTGTATGTCTTTGCATTTTAGGAACTTTTCTAGTTCTTTCATAGCCGCCCTCCCCATTCTTAATTTTGTTCTGATTTCCTGGCTGCAGTCCACATTCCAATCAATGTTTGATGCCAGCTATGATAGCTCTTTTACTATTTCTATTTCCTCATTGTCTAATTTGAATGTGTGT